ATACGCGGTCCTTGGCTAAGCTGCCGTGAATATTGACATTCAAGGCTTTAGAACGTTCATGGGTGATCCCTCTTATGCATGCTTGAAAGAAATAAACTTATCTTTGGACTAGTCGGCCTTTGGGTGGAAATCGAAACCACTTCACTTTCATTGCGGTGATAGTTGAAGCGAATATTGACATCGATGGGGTTAGAAACGCTCATAGGCGCCCCCTCTCGTGCAATTGAAAAAAAAGGCTTCACTTTGGACTAGTCGGTTTTTTGATGGAAAAATCCTTCACTTTCATTGTCGTGAAAGTTGAAGCATACCCGCGCAAGCTACGACTCTAGCGATATCTTGCCGTGAATATTGACAATGAAAAGTTGGAAGAAATCATGTATACACCAAAGATCCAGAGAGAGAAGCCTGCCACTATTTTTCCTAAAAGTGACTTGAAAGGTGATGCTCATCACGGAAGTTTAGGGTGTTGCTAGAATCGCAAATCTTTCAAAGAATAGTAGTGAGCGCGACAGAACGCCAAACATTAGGGTCATGGCATGTTGGAGATGGAGCCTCCCATATGCTTCCCAAGAGGATGGAACCAAGAGGCCCAGGTTGGTCCACATCTGAGAGGCGACCCCTCTCATGCATGCTTGAAAGATTTTTTTAATCTTTGGACTAGTAGGCCTTTGGGTGAAAAAAAAAACACTTCACTTTCAATGCGGTGATTGTTGAAGAGAACATTGACAATGGGGGTGTTAGAAATGCTCATGAGCGACCCCTTTCATGCAATTGAGAAAAAACCTTCGGACTAGTCGGTTTTTTATGGAAAAATCCTTCACTTTTGTTGTCATGAAAGTTGAAGCATACCCGCACAAGCTGCGACTCTTGCAATGTCTTACCATGAATACTGACAATGAAAAGTTGGAAGAAATCATGTATACACGCAATGCAGAGCTATCATACAAACATATCATTGAAAAAATAGTGTGTTATATCACCCTAATAGCGTATTTAAAGGTGACGCTATTTTGCTATAGCATGCTATTTTTTTCATTGACAAGCATTGGTATCAAATGGCACCAATAATTTTTTTAATGGTCACCGGAGGGGAGAGCTTCCCCATCTGAATATACTACCACTCAAAGCACATATCTTGCATTTTTCGATAAAGTGACTTTGTTACTTAAAAGGTTTAAGCATTACAGCTGCCTTTGCATAACTAAGATGCGCACATCCAAACGAAGTCCACTCTCGAAATAGTAAAAAAAAGGGCGAAATACAAACCTTGAAGAGAGGCACCATATCTAAGATTGTTGCATCCTTTAGTGCAATGTCGTAAAAACGAAAGATTCAGAGAGAGAAGCCTGACGCTATGTTCCTAAAAGTGACTTGAAAGGTGATGCTCATCACAGAAGTTTAGGGTGTTTCTAGAATCGCAAATCTTCCAAAGAATAGTGAGCGTGACAGAAGGCCAAACATTAGGGTCGTGGCCTGTTGGAGATGGAGCCTCCCATATGCTTCCCAAGAGGATGGAACCAAGAGGCCCAGGTTGATCCACATCTGAGAGGCGACCCCTCTCATGCATGCTTGAAGAAATTTCTTTTATCTTTGGACTAGTCGGCCTTTGGGTGAAAAAAACACTTCACTTTCAATGCGGTGATTGTTGAATAGAACATTGACAATATGGGTGTTAGAAATGCTCATGGGTGGCCCCTTTCATGCAGTTGAAAAAAACTTCGCATTGGACTAGTCGGTTCTTCGATGGAAAATAATCCTTGAAATGTCTTGCTATGAATATTCACAATGAGGAGTTGGAGAAATCACATACACATGCAAGGGTGAAGCTATCATGCAAGCATCGGTATCAAATGACATCAATTATTATTTTTAATTCTCTAATAAAGGATTAGAAAATTAATCTTATAGGAAAGCACTATACTTAGAAGAGTGGCACCAATGAGCATTTTGCTTGTCTTTTCCTTGGTATACACATTGGGGTACTCGTAGTAGGTCGCAACAAACAAGGTTTCAACCTTTCCCACGTTAAATGTTGCTGGTCATGGTTTGGGCGGCACAACCACGGCAAGTCAACAAGTGCAAGTTTTTTTTAATCTTTTTCTTTGGTAGGGGATTGAGTCAGTATCCGGTAGTACTTAAAATGTTGTAAGTCGTATTATCCTCCTCATATCTTAGGGACATCAACTCTACGAACATCGTTTGTGAGTGAGACGTCAATGGCATTAATTAACTAATCAGTTTTTGGCATGGTCCACGCTATTTATTCTCACTCAATCCAGTTGAGTTATGCATGATTGGTTAATCTTTTTTGGGTCAATTGCAAACTTCTTTTCGTGTAAAAAACACGGGGATAGCAATTTTTACTCTCTACGCTCTACTTCGTATCGCTTGGTCAACATCTTTAGCTTTGACAACTTCTTATTCACAATCTCAGTATTCATCACTGACTCTTCTCTCGCATCCATGATATGGACTGCTTTTCTTGTCACCACTTCAACCTCCATGTTTTGTTCCATGTGCCGCTTCCTAGGCCTCAATTTGAAACCTGAAACATAATATTTGAAACCTATGATATCACAAGTGTGAATTTACTGGTATTCGATAGACTTTTGTTTTTGTGGGAATTTAGTGCAAGTCGATAGACTTTTGTATAGTGTGAGGGTTTTTTGGGGGTAGTGTGAACTGTGAGGGGAAATCGATAGAGACAGTAGACGAGTAGATAGTTTTTTCTTCTGAGGGGAGACAGACGAGTAGTTAGTTTAGTGTGTTGGGCAGGCCGCGGGCGGGCTGGCCCAGCCCACGTCCCACGGCCCGAACCAGTAGGCCAACTCGAGGTTTCTCCCCCTCGTGGCACGCACGCAGACCGACGGAATCCGGCGACGAGGGTTTCTGCGCTCGAACAACCCGGGACCCGGCGGCGAGGAAGAGAGAGCGGCGGAGATGGCGGTGATGGACACGGCGTTCAAGGCGCTGACGGCGGGGCTGGGCGTGGCGACGCTCTACCTGGCCGGCTCCTTCTCCTTCAACGTCTACCGCGGCCTCGCCTGGCACTCCGAGCAATCCGTAAGCGCCGCCCGCCCCCCTCCTTCTTCCCCAGCCCGCCCTGCTGCTTATTCCTGCCGAATCCGTCCCCTGCTGCCCCGGGCCTGCGAAATCAGAGCAGATTTATACTGGTCGTGTGTTGATTGATTGTCATGGCTGCGCTCTGACGCGATGCGTAGGTGGGTGGGCTGGCGCGTGAGAGGGCGGATGCGGCCGTGTGATTAGTTGCCGTGTTGATGCGTAGGTGCCAAGGCATGATCGGTACTGCGCGTAGCTGGGAGCAGAGTATGATCCATGGATCTCTATGTGTGTTCTTCCTTGTTTACAGTGGGGAAAACCTGAGACCTAGCCACGTCATTTTGGAGGGCTCCCTGTGGCTTATACTGTGGCTGTTGGTGTTACCTGCAGTGGTGGAGGATCTTGTATTCACAATGTTGGTTCAGTACTCTGTATTATGCTCTCGAAGCCGGAGTCTGTTTTTTTAGACCAAAAACATGTGAGGCATGCGTGTTGTTACTTAAGCAGCTAATGGGAACTGAGTTTGCTTTTGGACAGCCCTTTGATGTCTAGTGCAGTGACTATCCTTGGTATATTTAGAATTTAGAATAGCATGGCTACAGATTACCTTGGTTTTTGGGTAAACTGAGAATTTGATGCATTTTTGTTGAGCTGCTAGTCAGTTCTTGGGGATTACATGCCTGCATTTATGTGGGGCATATGGCCATAAAGTAACTATTCCATCAAATTGTGAGCTTAATATATTTTAATTGAGCTGGTCAGTATTATCACACTATTCGTAACCGTCAATGCGACTCAATGATCAGGTGTGCAATAAATGTATATTTTGTCTTTTAGGTGAGGTATAGAATGAAGGATGAGTAGGAAACCTGTTGGCTCTTCTTGATGTATCTGGCCGCAAAGAAAAATGGAAACCTATATTTGTGACACTATGTGGTTGTACATAAATCTGGTTTGCTTCATTAAACCATTCATTATTGGCTGAAAGGAAACGGTTGCAGCACCCGCTGATGATAAAATGCAGCTTCAGATAGAGAGGAATTGTAGGCTATAGTTGTGGGCTTAACTTGGTATGCATTTTGGTACATAAGACAAAACTGATGCGGCAGCAACTTGTGTTTCTCAGAATTTCCAAGTCGTTTTGCTTTTTGGCATTTGTTGTATATTGTCGTTGTGCAACTTCTTCTGAAATGCGTTCTAACTTCTTTTGGGTGTGTTACAGAAGCTAGAAAAAGAAAAGGAGAAGAGCCAAGATTGAGAGGGAAGGATGGCAAGTTAGTGTCGGACATTACCAATCAAAAGGATCTGCAAGAAATCTCATCTTTTGATGATGAGTGGTCATTCGTGGTTGATTTTCGGACAGTTCCTTTGATGTAATATAGATTCAGGGATTTGGATGACCATTCATCTCTATGTGCGCTCTATTTTCACACATTTCTTCTTTGTACTAAGCATAAGGGTGCGCTGAGATTAAAAACAAAATATTGGTGTTCTGTGTCTTTTTCCTCGAGCATTAGACGCTCTTACAATTAGCTAAATTAAATTCAAGTATACGAATGTTCTTATGTTTGCTGTCCTCTTGTTTCTGTGCCGTCAATCCATTTCCTTGAATGATAACTTCAATAGGAATACCAACCGGTTGTTCTAAAAGTTGCCTGCTGTTCATCAGTATACAGTCATATATTTCTTCCAAGGTAGCTGTTGAAGGCTCGAAGCAGTAACTGATATACGATTATATGGTGTGGTATATACACCATAAGCAGCTAAGCTGGGGTACGGCACAATTCATAAGGGTACTAGCAGATCAAAACTTGTGTACAGGGTTCAATTGGAAGTCTGAAAATGTTAGCAATTTTATGCAACTCAAGCTGAACATAAGAAAAATCATTCTTAACAAGAGTTTGTGCTATAACAGTCATGCATCTACCGTGTCTTTTCCCCTAAGTTGTGAGCAACAGATACACAAGGCCTTTCAAATATCCAACAATTTCGGATCCCCCGAGCTTTGAGATTCCAAAGACCCTGTCGACGAAAGTGATTGGGACCTGGACAGGACAAGCAAAGTTATAGTAACTATCAAAGCTAGGAGATTGTATCCAGCCTACACAAATGAAAATGGATCAATACGAAATGGCTTTACCTCTTCGATGTGATAACCTTTCCTAGTAGCCCTGACAATCATCTCCATTTGGAATACATAGCCCTTGCTGACGCAGGAGGAGATGACATCCTCCAAAACACTTCGCTTATATAGCCTAGGAAATCGGCAAGTATCAAATAACAGTAATGGTAAAAGATCTTATTATATTCGAATAAAATGAGGCACACCTAAACGACCCAGTCAGATCAGAAGCTCCGGGGCGTAGTAACGTCTGTGCCAGAACATTTGCTCCCCTGCTGGTCAGCTTACGCATAAGATTCCAACCATGGACACCACCATTGCTAACATAACGCGTGCCAGTTACAATGTCAGCACCGGTTTCCTTTTGCTTCCTGGTCAATGATGAACATGATTAAAAAAGCTATATAGGTTCTTCCAAGTAATTGTTTTTGTGAGCTTGGATAGCTCAGCTATATCAAACTTCGCTGAAGTTGTTTCAGCCATTAAATCAAACAACTAACACTCAACTAAGTACATATCTATGCCTCACAAGAGCAAACTGGTTAATTAAGACGTATTTTGCAAAAGAGAAGAGACCAGTGAACAGAATAGAATAAGCAGACAATTATATTGTAAATGTGCACTTAATATTTACAAAGCATACAGTAGGGCAGTGTCAGTGCCCATGCCAGACTATATAAATATCTGGAGAGAATGGCTCAGAGGAAACCTTTCGCCAATATCACATCATGCTACAACCTCCCAGAATGACGACGAGAGGATCTCGATCATCTGTGTCTAGGAGGCAGACGTAAGACCGGCCTTTCAATTTCTCCTCATTGCTACACAATTATAATATGTATCTATCTAGAAACAAAGCACACAAGAACACACGTCGATAGTGGATCCAAGAGAGATCAAGTCAGGAAGAGAATTGTGAAAAAGGTATTATAAGGCAAGAATTGGATTCCCTCGGGGGCCAGAATGAGTGCTCTTGCCCCCCTTTGTGATAGTTTTTGGTCTGTGGAGTGTGCTTAGTGTGGTCTCGATCGACAGGAGCCATTCTATGAAGTGGAAGTGTGCAATTCAGTGTGGGGAGCAGTCTGCATGTGAACTCTGTGGTGTTATTGTTGAAAAACGAGCTACTGAAATTATGTTTTTCTCTTCTACTGAAATTCAGTGCTCCTGCCAGCTTCCTCAATAAAATAAAATACAAAGCATATAAATCCAATCATTCTTGCCGGATAAATTTAAAAGCATCTTTGAGTATATGATTCTTACCTGATGAAGCTTGGCAAATACTTTGGCTGTTCAAAATAGAAAAAGGAATCAGTAACTAAAAGGAACGGAACTATTTAAATAGCTTAACTATGCCAAATAACATAGAGAAGAAACATACATGATGAGATAGATCTGCATCCATTATAACAACGAACTCCCCTGAGGCATGCTTTAATCCATGCATATATGCAGTACCTGAATGTTTACACTATTTCGTTAACACGAACATCAAGCAATGGCTTACAATTCGTAGAAGTGGGCAGCTAAGCTTACCAAGTCCTAGCTTCCTTGGTCTAGCTCGCAGAAGCTGGTATTATATCAAGTAAAAGACACTGCAATAAGTCATAAATAACCAAAATCCAGACCACACATGCATACATAAACTCATACATTAAATTACTTACAACACGATCTTCACCATATACTTGCTGCAACTGCTTTACAATGTCTTGTGTTCCATCGGGGCTTCCATCATCCACAATAATGATTTCGAACTTGGCCTCCCTGCAGTTGAAAATTACATCATCAGTTTAAGTTTAGTACTAAAACAAATGCAACAGCCTTGCAATTTGACATACACCAATATCATGCTAACAATAATAGAAGTATAGAGCAGCAACGAAACAGGTTGTAATGCTGACAAAATACTACACGTATACAGCAGCAACGGAGAACATGTTGGCTGCTACAAATAAATGTGCTGCGTGATGGATTCTAAAATAACCTACAGATAATGTGAATCAGAAAGAGCTAAGGCTTGTAAAATCCTGAGAAATTAGTTTTTACCAAATCTAAGAGTAAGATGGTGTGCTCATATCAACCAGTTGATATAGCTAATAACCTATGGTTTCCGAATTTCTGCTAGTCCAATCAATCAAACTAGCCATACCAGCAGTATGATGAAGTGCATCTAGGATAATGGACACTGATAAGTGCTAACTGAAACCAGCTGCGCACAATGACAGGACCAGATATACTTCGGGTAACTCTGAATAACTTCCTAGTCTTGGACAAATAACATGAAGCGGAATCTAGCTTTGAAATCGTCTTATGACACTGTCACCTTAATCTATTGTTCTTTGGGAGTTCTTCTCACAAGATCAAGTGGACAACAGAGACTAAATTCAGCTGACACGGCACAGCTAGCATTTAGCAGTTACATATAAAAAAAAGCGGCAGTGATCGTATCTCATGGCCCGGGTCTGAATGGGAACACAATAGGCAATTGCAAAGGTGTTGTGCAGTTGTGCTATATGAGTACAGAATGAACTAATAGCTATTGAATTTTCTGCTTAACCCGCCTGCGAACCTCAAATCAATTGGCAACAAAATTTTCAGTTGATGTCGAGGCATCCCGCCCCAGGTATATCTACAGAAGAGGAAATCTGAGCGGGCTCTAAATCTATCTGGATCACGAACGACCTCCGTCCAAGACAAAGATCTCAACCACCGGGAGAACTAAAAGAGGATGAACAGAGGTGGGTGGATTGATGGGGGGAGGGGTGGCAGTGGAGGATTACGGGAGGTGCTTGAAGATGAGGTAGACGATGAGGGCGACGTTGAGGCGCTCGTTGTAGGTGGGCACGATGATGCTGTACTCCGGCCTGCCGCCGCCCGCCTCGCCTCCCTTCTCCATCGTCTCCACCGAGCAGAGCAGATCAGCGCCGGCAGATCAACTCTTCTCGGTGCGCGATCTGACGCCGCAGCCGCAGTTGGGCAGGGACGGAGGGAAACCGGCGAGATTGGCGAGGCCGATTTCCCGTCGCCGGCCGGTGTCAAAACTGGAAGCGCTCCGGGCAATCAAGTCGGGCTTGGATGGGCCGCGCGTCCGCGCATAAGTACCGCACTGGCCCGTTTTTATACGGGCTTACCGAGACAAGCTTTATTTAGGGTCACTGCGTAATGCTTGCAAAAGATCCGATGGTTCTTGTTTTTCTTCTTTATTTCCTTTTGTTTTTTGTTACTTTGAGAACTGTTCACGAATCTCAAATTCGAAAATAAAATTGTTCTTAATTTCAAAAAAATGTTCAGCTTCAATATTTTTTTAACAAATGACAGAAATTTCGAAAAAATGTTCAAGAATTTGATAAAATAATCATGAATTCAAAACAATGTCCTGAATTAATAAAATTTTGCAAACTTAAAAAATTGTTATGTACCAAATAGCAGAAACCGTTCACTGATTCAGAAAATGTTCGTCGATAAAAAAAGTCCTCGTGAATTTCAAAATTAATTCCTAAATTTCAAAAAATATTATTGATTCAGAAAAGATCATGAATTCAAAATGTTTGTCAATTCAAAAAATGTTTGTTGATTCAGTAAAAAGTTCACAGATTCAAACTATGTTGAAGAATTTCAAAAGCAATATTCGTTGATTCAAGAACTGTTAACATATTCAATAAATTTTCAGTTATTTCAAAACTTTTTCCTGAACTAAACAAATGTTCGTGCATTTCAAAAATTGTTTGCATATTTATACGAAAATAAAAAAGAAACAAACAAGTATAGAAAAAAAAATCCCAAAACGAAAACGCATAGAAAAAGGATTGGCAGAAACAGAAAAAAAATGAGAAAAATAAAAGAAGAATGAAAAAACAAGAAAAATTGACAACCCGGTTCATGGAAGGTTCTAGAATCTTCCCCAAATCGATGGGGTGAAAATTGATAATGACCCGTCCCAATTGACGCAGCACGCTCGCGATGGAAGGTGTGCATTACTACGCTATTCTCCGACCTATGCAATAATTAGTATTCCACGCTACTTATAGTTATATAGGGAGCACTCCTTCGATCGTATCGAGCCGGTCCATAAGGCTTTTTCGCTGGGAAACTGTCCTGGTAAAGCTTCCCACTCCAGTTTTGACAAAAAATTAGAACCTTTAAGGGTGGGTTTCTCATTTTTTCTTGTTTTTTGGACCGACTTTTGTTAAAAAAAATTACTTTTTATTTTGTTTTTCCTTTTTATATTTTTAAATCAGCAAACTTTATAAAAAAATCATCAACTTTGTTCAAATTCATGATGTTTTATCAAATTACTGAAATTTTCATGAATTCCTGATTTTTTAAAACGGGTGAGCTTTTCTTAATTTGTGATCTTTTTCAACTTTGGTGAGTTTTTTCCCAAATTCGTGATTTTTTTCAAATTCGCATTTTTAAAAGTCAAGTACTGAAATTTTCATGAATTCCTGAACTTTTTTAAAATCTTGATTTTTTCTCATTTTTTGCAAACTTTTTTCATTTTTTACAAACTTTTAAAAAGTTGTGAACATTTTCAGTATTCATGATGTTTTTTTTTGGTGAACTCCTTTTCAAATTTAGGTTTTTTTAAAAAAAAAACTGCACTTTTTTTCCCCAAAAGTTAACGATAAACTAGTGAGCCGGTCAAGGAGAGTGGACAATCTGCACACGGGGGCATCTGCACCCGCTTTTCAAAAATGTACTTTTTACACGTTTTGTAATGTTCAAAAATTTTAAAAAAAATTTATGCATACATATTGGCAAAGGTATGTCCACGGCACAAAGTTTTGTGTAAAAAAATATTTTTGTTTTGTCTCAGTAAAAAAGACAAATTTTACTGCTAATAGCGTTTCACGGCATAAAATTTTATCTTTTTTGCACAGGCTACAAAAAAAGTTGTTTTTCTGTGAAACTTTCTGCACACACATAGAATATGAAGATGTCTGCGCGTATCTTTTTTCAAAATTTTTTGACATTGCAAAATGTGTTTTCCAAAATGGGTTCATATGTACCCGGATTCATCCATGCACTTCTCGCCGGTCAAGTGGTCAACCAGATATCCCAAGCGAGCGAGCGAGGTGTGAGCCGCAGAGCGAGCGGAACAAGTGACCCGACTTGTAATGAGATTTGAGCAAGAACCAAATGAGCTTCAGGTTTGCTGGATCGGCCCGCTACGCGTCACGTACGAGCGCCTGTTGCGCTAACTAGCGCGGAGAGCACCAAATAGGAGGTCTCGTCCTATCACGCGGAGAAAACAGAGACCCCTTAAAGACAACGAGATCCACACACGGGTACTAAACCCTTGCGCTAGTGGAGGCAAGGGTGGCTGACGGGGCCAACTATGGGGGGAGGGGGGGAACACAAATTTGGGTCCCGGGACACTAGCTTTCTGAATATGCATTTTATGTGATAAGTTAATTGATTTAGTGTTCAATACAATTTGTTTGTAAATTTACAAGAATAAAGAGACAGAGTATGAGTATGCACAAGTTTGGTTCAATACAGGATTTAGTATTCAATACAATTCGGACATAATGATTAGGAAAGCATGTCTATTTTACTAAACAGACCTAGTTTTTGGTACAATGATATTTTTTATAAAAATGCTAAACAATTTCAGTAACTACTAAATGTGCTCACTATTAATCTAGGAGTGTTTGAGCTTATTTTCACTAAAAGATTAGGAGATAATGACACAAAAATATTTTGTTTTTTCGCTGCTAACTTTGAGCACTCCCTGCAGTTTCTTCATGGATTCACCACTGCTCCATATCCATATGAAGCATGCGGATGATGACTGCTGATATGAGAATCTACTAGAGTTGCTCTTGCACCATTTTAGAACACCTCCAATAGGTGATGTAAAAAAGGCACTGAAAAGTAGTTTTAGGGCAATAGAAAATTTCTTCTCCAACAAATGATGTAAATAGGGCATCCAACCACATATTTCTTCTCCACAATTGCATACATATTGAAACAAAACATGAATATGGATAGAATTTAAACTTTGCAAGATCACCACACACATAATCAACAACATATCAAATTGAACCTCAATCGACATATCAAATTCAAATGCAAACCACAAGCATAGTGAGTCACCAACACAAAAAAAGTGTATAGAACATAAAAGTACATAGCAACATAGCCTCTTAGCTTTCATCGCCTTGATTCTTAAATGTTCTTGAATTCTCTCCATGGCTTGGAACATCGGTCTTATTGCCACCATTGACTTCATTGTCTTTATTGCCATACATGGTACCATCTATACCTCCTCCCATTCCACCAGCCATGCCCCCTCTCATGCTACCACTCATAGCACCACCCATGCCTCCTCCAATGCCACCTCCCATGGCACCCAAGAATGCTCCTATGCCGCCTTCCATGACGCCCATGAATCCTCCCATGCCTCCACTCATCATGCCGCCACCCATGCACTAGTGTAGAAAAAACTAAAATCCCCACTACGTATAATATCCTAGTATTAAATATGTAATAAAATTTTGTGAGCTTCTACGCATAAAATCCACACTATGTATAATATCCTAGTATTACTAACAAGTTGCATGCAAAATGACATTGCAAGTACAAATACAATTCTGTACAAATATAATACTATTTAACAAGTTGCCTGATCTAAAACTCGGTCATGCTAAAAGGAATGGAACTTACATCTGATTTGTTCATGTATGATGTATTTGTAGTAGAAATCATTTCCTACCCATGTGAAGTAGCTATATAACTAGGCAGTGGATGATCAAGCTAGCGATGACTGTAAGTGAAACTTTGGCTTTAACCCCTACCAATTGACAATAATCAGTGTGATGACCCACAAGTATAGGGGATCTATCGTAGTCCTTTTGATAAGTAAGAGTGTCGAATCCAATGAGGAGTAGAAGGAAATGATACGTAGTTTTCAGCAAGGTATTCTCTGCAAGCACTGAAATTATCGGTAACATATAGTTTTGTGATAAGGTAATTGGTAACGAGTAACAAGTAATAAAAGTAAACAAGGTGCAGCAAGATGGCCTAATCCTTTTTGTAGCAAAGGACAAGCCTGGACAAACTCTTATATAAAGGAAAGCGCTCCCGACGACACATGAGAATTATCGTCAAGCTAGTTTTCATCATGCTCATTTGATTCACGTTCGTTACTTTGATAATTTGATATGTGGGTGGACCGGTGCTTGGGTACTGCCCTTACTTGGACAAGCATCCCACTTATGATTAACCCTTCTTGCAAGCATCCTCAACTACAAAAGAAGTATTAAGGTAAACCTAACCATAGCATGAAACATATGGATCCAAATCAGCCCCTTACGAAGCAACACATAAACTAGGGTTTAAGCTTCTGTCACTCTAGCAACCCATCATGTACTTATTACTTCACAATGCCTTCCCCTAGGCCCAAACAATGGTGAAGTGTCATGTATTCGACGTTCACATGACACCACTAGAGGAAAAACAACATACATCTCATCAAAATATCGAACGAATACCAAATTCACATGACTACTTATAGCAAGACTTCTCCCATATCCTCAGGAACAAACCTAACTACTCACAAAGCATATTCATGTTCATAATCAGAGGGGTATTAATATGCATAAAGGACCTGAACATATGATCTTCCACCAAATAAACCAACTAGCATCAACTACAAGGAGTAATCAACACTACTAGCAACCCACAGGTACCAATCCAAGGTTTTGAGACAAAGATTGGATACAAGAGATGAACTAGGGTTTGAGATGAGATGGTGCTGGTGAAGATGTTGATGGAGATGGACCCCCTCCCGATGAGAGGATCGATGGTGATGACGATGGTGATGTGTTCCCCCTCCCAGAGGGATATTTCCCCGGTAGAACAGCTCCGCCGAAGCCCTACATTGGTTCCGCC